ACTCCAGCCTGGGCAACAGAGCAAAAACTCCACCTCAGAAAAGGAAAAAAAAAAAGAAAAAGAAAAAGAAAAAAAGGGAAAGAAAGAAATAGGTAAGGAAGGGTAGAGAAGGGGAATTGAAGAGTGGTAAGAAAACTGGGTGAAGCAAACAGTGCTTGGATGAAGGATTTGGAAAGGATGCAATTGATAGATTAAGAAAAAAAACAATGTTTCAAATACTTGGAAGAACCAGGCAGGTAAATGGAAATTAGGGGCGTTGGAGGGGACGGCTGTAGAGTGACAGAGACCATGGTGAACAGACAAGCACAAAGACGCTGGCACCGCTGCACATTGGCATGCAGCAGGGATGGGGCCAAGGATGATCAGAGCTTATAATTTTTCAGAGAAGATGAAAATCTGGACTGTATGTGAAATTCTTCACTTTTTTTTTTTTTTTGAGACAGAGTCGTGCTCTGTCTCCCAGGCTGGAGTGCAGTGGTGTGATCCGGCTCACTGCAACCTCCACCTCCCGGGTTCACGCCATTCTCCTGCCTCAGCTTCCCGAGTAGCTGGGACTACAGGCACCCGCCACCACGCCTGGCTTGTTTTTTTGTATTTTTAGTAGAGATGGGGTTTCACTGTGTTAGCCAGGATGGTCTCCATCTCCTGACCTCGTGGTCTGCCCGCCTTGGCCTCCCAAAGTGTTGGGATTACAGGCGTGAGCCACCGCACCCGGCCAATTCTTCACTTTTTAAACTGTGGGTAAGAATTTCTGCTTAAATGAACAATAATCACTCTGTGGGTTAAACCTATGGTGAATGTAGCTAAATGAGGTCCCAAGTATAAAGGGCAGGCCAGCTTTTGGAGCACCTTGAATGTCCGCATGAGGACTTTGGGAACTCATTCATACTCAACACACAAAATGATGCGTAAATGAACATGGCTTAATCTTTGGGGGTAATGGAACTGTTGTGTTGGGGGTTAGACTTGTTTATTCTTTGCTAGGGTACAAATACTGCATACTTGCAATTCTCTATGATTTTCTGAAGGAGCTGATTTACAATCTTAAAATGCGCACTTTGTTTTCTTCACTTCTTAGCTCATACATGACCCAGAAGAAGATCTGGTCCTTCAAGAAGCAAGAAAGAAGACAAACAGATGAATGACAAAGACAACCAGGTAACCTGGCGGTGCAAAGGATTCAACTCCTAGCTTGTGGATTTAGGAATCTGTGCTGGGAGATTTGGGACAATAACAAAGATGGGAGTGGTGATTTGGCAGGGCAGGGCTTCAGGGGCAGGGGTCGGAGCGAGGCAGGGGGCATTGAGTGTCTGAAACTAAGCAAGACCACGAAGAATAAAATCCAAGTGAAGGGAGTCACTTTATCCATTGCTTCTTCTTCCATTTAGTCAGGTCCATGTGTCCTGAGCACCTACTATGGGCTCAGCACCGTGCTGGCCACCAGGGACAAAGAACAGAAACGCCCTGGAGGTGAGGATGGACCTGACCTCTGAGCAGCAAAATTCTTAAGACGCAAGCAGTCAGGCAAACTGGATGTGAATCTTGTCTCTGTCACTTATTTGTTGCATGACTTCAAAGAACTTTCTTAGCGTCTCATAGCTTCAGTTTCCGGTTAGGTAAAATGGGAATAGTAATCAAATCAATTCCATAGATTTATTGTGAGATTAACTAAGAGTAATTGTGTAGACCACTCAGCACAGTGGCTGGCACATAGCAAGTGCTGAACAAGTGACAGTATTTGTTCCTTTTATGTATTAATATAAGTCCTCTAATAGAAGAATATAGAAACTACACTGATGATACCAAGGGGGGGATATTTTTTTATCTCTTCTTTTTATTTTATTTATTTCCAACAGAGCATGCACTATAGTTTAAAATTATGTTCCCAAATATTTACTAGCTCTTCTACACTGTCTTTTCCTTGCCCTCACTAGATGGCAAGGGGCAGGAAGGCAGGTAGCCTGTGTGCTACATCACCTTGGCCTCCCAATGATCCCTAGGACCTAAGCAGATATTAGGTACCTAATAATCATGTTGTTGTTATTATTTTTATTATTATTTGAGACAGTCTTGCTCTGTCGCCTGGGATGGAGTGAAGTGGTGTGATTTCAGCTCACTGCAACCTCCGCTTCCCAGGTTCAAGCGATTCTCCTGCCTCAGCCTCCTGAGTAGCTAGGCAGGCATGCGCCACCACACCAGGCTAATTTTTGTATTTTTAGTAGATACAGGGTTTCACCATGTTGGTCAGGCTGGTCTCAAACTCCTGACCTCATGATCTGCCCGCCTCAGCCTCCCAAAGTGCTGGAATTACAGGCGTGAGCCACCGTGCCCAGCCTATCGTGTTATTATTTGAGCATTTAGGTGAGAGGGTTCTAATGCATTTGGATGTATTTGCTAATCCTTAGCAACAATCTTATAGACTAGTTTGTATCATTGTCCTTATCTTGCACTGAGATAACTGAGGTGCAGAGAGACTGAGTCGTTTGCTCAGGTTCACGCAACAAGTAGGACGTGGAGCTAGGGTTGAAATGTGCTCTGGCCATGCTGTTGGCTCTGCCTCTATCCACTGTGAATGGAATATCTGTTGAATAAATAAACAAATGAATGTGTAATTTAAAAAGGCTTATGGAGGAGACAATTTAATTGAATAGAAGGATAAGTAGCAGTTTGTAGGTAAGCTAGGGACAGACGTACAAATGTGGCCATGCATGAGAAAGGTTGTAAGTTTAGGAAGATCAAGTATAGCAAATAAATAAATGAATGGACACACAAATGAGTAAATGAATGAGTGTGTGTGTGTGTGTTTGTGTGTGTGACAGCGGGAGAAAGAGAGAGCACAGAAGTGTGGGTCTTACCGAGCCCTCTATGCCGTGTTCCTAAGGAACTTGCACATTTTCCTGCTGGCAGCCAGGAAACACTGAGGGGGAAAACATGGGACATGATCGCTTTCACTTATTTGAAATCCGCATTCTGATTTGAATAAGGACAGACCACAAGTTAGAAGAGACCTGTGAATCTAGGGGCAGGGGGACCCGTTCGGAGACTCCTGAAGTAGCCGGGATGAGAATCAGGGATATGGATCAGCATTATCAAGTTTCAGATAGTTCTGAAATGAGTCTTTTGCTATTAAGGGCAAGAAATATTTCCAATTATAATTTGCAATGGTCTGCAGAAACAAATGAGAGCAAACTGGAACCTTATTCGGAGAGGGATTGCCTTCCTAAATGGATTTTTGAACTGTTTCTTTTTTTTTTTTTTTTACTAGTATTGGCCTGCACATGCCTGCCTAGGTGTTACTTTCATTCTTGCACAAACTCAGGCAGACACTAAACTCTCAGAATGTCTTTAGTTTGGGAATTTAAACATAAGGAACCGTTAGGTTTTGCAGTGGCTGCCATACCAAAACATAAATCATGCCAAAATTGTTTGAAATCCTGTCTTTAGAAGGTTGTGTGTTTTGACAAACCTTGCAGCAAATTTGGTCCAGCTTTTGGATTTGTAATGAAACCTGAAACCAAGCATTCTCGCCTGCCTTGGGGTCTCCTAGCGCAAGTTCCAAGCAGCCTTAGTGTAATACCTACCCTAATCTCATCCTGGCAGGCTACATTAGTGTGTTGGGCTGCGCTGCTGGAAGTTTGGGGTGGACTCAGCAAATATTTCATGCAATTATGAAGAAGGACTGATCAAAACAGCAATACACTTTTCTGTGTCTGAGTATTTTTAAGAGTGTAAATTGCAGAGTTAGCAATACCTTATCCCCTGTTGGCTAGTGACTTGGAGATACCCAAGCCATGATTGGGGCAGAAAGTTAATTAATCTGCTTATTAAAAAGAAGAAATGTCTCATTTGCATGCATTTGCATTCAGGTCTTGAATTCATCATGCTTTTTGGTGGTCGTTTGCTTTATTTCCTTAATACCACTGACCTACCTAGGTGTTAGCTCAATACATTTAAATTTTCTGTGGCTGAGCTTTGTTTAAGTGTCGTATCTCTGGTTATGGTTGGTTCTAGCAGAATCTGATTATTTTATAGATCGCTTAATTCTCTATAGAGATTCTTTCCCCTTCCATGGGCTGTTGGGGTTTCTTATAGTTATCATATACCACAGTTGGGAAAAGATTTGTTTACTTGACCAATCTTGGAAAATATAGACTTTGTCTCCACAAGAGTTGGACATGTTATCTGGGGATGATCCATTAAATTATTTGCAATTTCCTACTCAACTGAATTTTCCATGGTCATTTTTGTGGCAGTTTTCTCCTTTTTTGCTTTTCCTGTCTTATTGGGAGGTCTGCTTTGGGGTTTTTGTTTTGTTTTGTTTTGTTTTTTTCCTTCCTAGGAAAAAAGACCATTGCTCTCCTTAAGTGTATTTTCTGCATTGCACATTCAGAACGATTGTTTTTACCTGAAAATGCCCAGGCACCTTACGGGCCTGAATCAAGTCTTGGGAGAAGAGGGAGGTGGCTGGAAAGAGGGGTGAGTGGGGAGACATGGGGGTGAGATGGAGTGGAGGGCAAAGAATATAACAGCCCTTGGAACAACAGCAAGTAAAGCAAAACTACGTAGGGAGATTAGTGCAGAAATAAATCTCTGCATGTGAGTGAATCAGTGGCCCCAATTTGGGGCACCACAGTGCCCATGTTTCTGTATTTTGTAGTAATCAACATTTCTGATACATTACAACAGTGTGGTTGTCAGGGGTGAGAGGCTCGTGCAGCGGTTAGACCACCTCTATGCTAACAGGCTTAGCAATCAGGCTGCCAAGGGTCCTGGCTGGAGGAAAAAAATTAAAACCAAACCTTAGACCTCTTGTCAGACTGTGAGGAGAATTATATTTGTGAACTAGTCTACAGTGTGGACAGGAAATGACCTCTCCACAAACTGCTTCTTTAAAAACAAGCAGTGGTGCCTAAAGCTATCCAGCTTCTCTCTCTCTCCCTCTCTCTCTCTCTCTCTCTTTCTCTCTCTCTCTCTCTCTCTCCCTCCCTCCCTCCCACCCTCCCTCCCTCCCTCCTTCTCTCCCTTCCTCCATGCCAACCTCCCTCCCTCTCTGGATCTCCTGCTCTCTCCCTCTCCCTCCTCTCCCGTGCTCCCTCCCTCCCTCCCTCCCTCTTTCCCTCCCTCCTCTCCTCTCCCTCTCCTCTCCTGCTATAGAGGGCTCCGACAGCAGTTCCCAGCCAGCGTGTTCAGCCTGCCTGCCTGCCTGCCTCTGTGTGTGTGTGAGCGAGTGTGCGTGCGTCTACTTTGTACTGGGAAGAACACAGCCCATGTGCTCTGCATGGACGTTACTGATACTCTGTTTAGCTTGATTTTCGAAAAGCAGGCAAGATGTCCAGCACACCACATGACCCCTTCTATTCTTCTCCTTTCGGCCCATTTTATAGGAGGCATACACCATACATGGTACAGCCAGAGTACCGAATCTATGAGATGAACAAGAGACTGCAGTCTCGCACAGAGGTAAGTACTTCAACCTTGGGGATGTGTTTGTGTATTTTTGTTAAGCTATGCATGAGCTTTTCCTAGGGTTTCTGGCTGAATTCCGTGGGAAGTGTCCCACTTGATACTACCACGTATGTGGAAATGAGCGCCGGGGTGAATCCACGAGTTTGAACGCTGGGTTTCCAGGCACAGCAACTCTTGTAGCAGGGGACAGTTTCTGCCGGAATCTTGAGAGAACCCAGCACTTGATTCACATGCCAGGTTTCCAGAAATGTTGCTCTTCCAGAACTCTGGTATTTTGCAGGCTCTGAGTCAGTCCTGTTGGTGTTTCTTGAGATATAATCCCAAGGAATTTTGTGATTGTTTGCATATGACTGTCTATATATGTATTTTTTTTAATAGAAATAAATCCTAGAGGAAGTCTGCTTTGACCTGTCTTTGCTTTTCAAAGTCACCAAAATCGAGGTAAAAGGGGGGGCAGACGAGTAACCCTGCCTACTTCTCAGAACTAGCCCTGGAGGGACACATAGTATATTTCAGTGTTAAAATCAGAAACCAGTTGCTTGGGGCAAGGGGACTCTACACTTTCTCCTTTTGCTGTCGGCCGTGCCCCCCCCCCGCCACCCCCATCACTCTACCTTAGGACAGGAGCTGGTTCAGCTTTCAAGTCAGCTCTAGTTTTTGCACGTTTGAGATCTTGTGCCTGAGAGAGGGAGACTCAGCCTCCTAGGCAGCCAGCAACTCTGGGAGCAGAGAGAACAGGACTTTCAGAACTTTTTAAATGCAAAACTCCAGACTCGCCTCCTGCAATTTAAATCTTTTATGTCAGTTGACTTTTTCTCTGTGCTAGCTCAGCTGGCAGGTCTTGCTGCTGGGCTGTCCATCTGCCTGTGAGTTGGGGCTTTGTGGAAGTGTTCGGAAAAGCAGTCTGTTATAGGTACACCAAAGTTCCTTTAGGAAGTGGAAATTGCTAGGAATTTAGTCTTCTCTGCAGAGTACAAATACCAGAAGATTTATGCCAAAAAGCTTTTAGGGAATAGCTTTGGTGGAATTTTAGATTGAAGATTGACTTTTAACTCTAGGAAGGGACTCCATTAAGTTGGCATTACAGAATAAAACACACTTGCTTGAATTGTCAACAGAGCCATAGAGAATTCATGACGTTTCATGTATTTAATACAGCTAACAAGATGTGACCTGCTTTCTGATTGGCTAACTGCTGGACAAGGACTTATATGTATTTTAAAAGCTGGGTTGTCTTTAATGACTGCTATTTTCTTTATATGTTAATACACCATAGATGCTAACTATGACTGCTGGTATCCTTGCTCTTTCTAGAAGCCAGTAGCTCCTACAGAAGTGCAAACTATGTTTTGCTTAGGGTGGTGAACTGTTGGCAGTGACTGATATTTGTGCTTGCTGTTTTATGTATGTTGCTTTGTGTGTGTTACAGTTTGTATATTTCCTTCAGATCTTTGCAACTGCGTGTTGGAATCTTAAATCTCTGCATAAACTATTGGTTGACATAGCCTGCTTTCAGAATTAGGAGGATAGAAAATGTCTTATAGTTCAGGCACACATTAATTGCAATACAGATTTGGGAAAAATAGTCTCTTAGAAGTGTGATCAGTTATAAAAAAGAGGCCAGGGACTATTATGGCTCAATTCTTGAAGAGCAACAATATTTAAAAATGACCTGTGTCCACCTTACATTTTAGAAAGTTTTTGAGGAATTGCAGAAATTCTTCTCCATCCTCCTGCAGTTAGGATCACAGGCAGCATTCTCTGATATCTGCCTGCCCTCCTGCCCATTACTGAGCACTTGGCTAGGTCTGAGCTAGGAGACTTATCTGCAAGATTTCCCTATTCTTGTCCTCAAAAAAAAATTGCAGGATTCAATATGGTCCCATGTTTGTTTCCCATTTGAGACAAGACATTTGAAAAGACCTCCTTTTTCAGTATGCTTCGCAAAGATGCCGCATTATTTTTTGTGAGAGCTAAACTCAGGAATTCCTAACTTTTTGATTATGGGGTATTACTTTTAAAGATTTAGCTCTGAGTAGAGAAAGACTACTTCATAGCTCAAGAACCAAGAGAAGAAAGCTTGCTATGACAAATCTTAAAGATTTTTTTAAACCTCCCTGCCTGTGACAGTAAAGTGCTATGAACTATTTTCTGGTGTGTCCTAGAGCTCACCCTTTACATTTTTCCCTCCTTAATTAGATAATTTTTCAAATAATTATTTAAATAATTGCTTCAATACTTCTTTTTTCTTTGCTAAGCAGTAAAATACTGTCATGAACGCAATACCATATATTTGTTTTTATTTCACATGAAAAGAAGAGAGAATCAAACAATTGCTCCTAAGATATTTAAATATTTACATAAAATATTAAATTTTGATCATGATGTATATACTTTGAAAAAAATAACTTTCATGTAAAGTTACACTGTACGTTTGCCAATAATTGTTGTTTATGATAAAGCTTTTCTGAGTTCTGGAGAGGGATTGATTGGAATAAAATACAAAGATACTCAGCAAGAGTTATTAGTTTATTCACATGCAAAATCAAATATGCCTTTGAGTGATTACTTTGAGAATTTAGCCAAAGCATACAACCATTTTGGGCAAGAGTGACTCACCCATCCCTCTTCCTTCTCTCTCCTCTGGTCCCACTCCTACAGTATATAGTATTATTTCATTAAGTCTTAATCTCTCTCTCTGTCTCACACACACACACACACACACCCCACTGGGTAATGCTCTCAAGTCTTCACTCCTTTTGGAACATGGACTTGGCTAGAAAAAAAAATATAGCAAATCAGTATGTGATGAAGAAATTGTAATCAAGTTTCTGGAAATTTCCTAGAAACCTCCTTTTTTATACGGAAAGAAATTAGTAAAGAACCATGATGTTTACCTACTCTCCTTCCATGGCTGATCCCAGGGCATTTTCTCATGGGGACCGATGCCTTTCTTCCAATTAAATTAAATCAAAGTTCTTCAGAAGCTGGGAAGTTTTAGTTTAAAGAGCATGGCATTGGGAGTTAATATTATTTCTCTTACAAACCAGTTGGAATAGGTCTTGGTTCCTCATTTGCAAATTACCAACAGTGTCCCTTTAATTGAAAATTCAGATTTTCTGGTTTTTTAGCATGAGAAAGTATTGTGAAGAGTGCAGACATGATTTCTTTGCTCATGGTATTCAGTTCAAAATCACAAATGGTAATAAAATAACTGGGTAATAAGCTAGCACTTAGAGCAAGTAGTTCCTGGATCAAGTAGGTACTCATTAAACGTTTGCTGACTAGCCAATCAATGAATCAGTAGACAAAAGGAGATAATTTGAAAACCAATGCATTTATATTAGCACTTTCCCTGATAAATACACTTCTGAAGTTTTTTGGGGCCTGGTATCTCCTATTGAGCTTGAAGCAGCTTTGGGCCTGTGCTTCTCACTCTCCCTAAAGTTCTCATCTCACATCCCCCACATTTATTTTATCTGAGGTCATTTAGATCCATAATCTTTGTGGCAAAGGAAAGCAAGTGACTAAGTACTGATAAGACCTCACCTCTCTGTAAAGGAATAGGCATGCATTAAAGAGCAAACAGCAATAACAACAACAAAAGTATGTTTTAAATGCTGCTAGGTGTTCTGAAAAGTAAATTCTTTTAAACATTAGAATCTCAGTGGAATTTAATAAAGAAATGTGTGGGTGCTCCCCCCACCCTTTAAAATGAAAGGAAGAAAAACTCTGAGCTTGGCATCACTGTGTTCACTGTAATTCCCAGGCAGCAGAAAGCAGTTTACATTTTCTGTTGTGTATGCTGTCAAAAGTTGACCCAATGTCTTCCAAAACTCATGTATTTGAATGGTTTGGCAGTGCCCAATGTATTTTGGAAGAATACAGCCACACAATTATATAGTTTTAACACTGCACACACAATACAGTCAGATAGGATATAAAAATATGTCCTGAAGACTTCAGAATTTGTTCTGTGAAAAGCTTCAATAAAAGCAAAAACAATGGATATTTTTCATTTTTAGGTCTCAGCTCTGAGATGAAAATATAGCTAAAATATATGAGAAATATTATAGTGGACATCATTGTAAGTGAAGGGATTTAACTAATGTTAGATTATTATACAATTTAAGAAAGTTTATCAAGTACAGTTCACAAATCTTTGTTAGAGTAGATACTTTCCTATACCTTGTTTTCTCATTCAAATGACCAAAACTGCCTGCATTTAAGTGAAGATATTTTTAAGTATATATAGTTCCTCATGTTGGCACCATGCTATTTTTTTTTAAATACCATAAACACCAGAAAAGTGTGAGTTCCGTTGTATATTTTTCCTGTTTTGAGGTTTTTTTCTTTTATCAATATTACACATCCTCTTCCAAAAGAGAAAACTGTGATTACAATCAGAAGCCGTACGCACAAGGATTTTATTAGAATTACAGTTTTTAGTTTTACAGGATTTAATATGAAGGTTACAAATGTTCGAAGACCTGGAAATTTAAATCTGCTGATTTTCACCCCTTCTCAGCTCAACTCTAAAACTCCCTGGGGAGGGGGTGGGGAGGAGGGGGATTCTTAGTTCTCTTTTCTTTCAGCTACATTTTTATATACTTTAGTCACAGCGTTTCACTTTGTAACATCATGTTTATTCATGGAATAGCTTGGTGTCATTGATGTTCAGATGGAATCTAGTTAAAATGAGATTAGTTATTTTGGATAGGTGGAGAAAAAGAAAAAAATGCTTTGTGATAACTTGGAGGTTTCTCCCCGCTAGAAATTTAGAAAGAAAAATGTTGCTGCTACTCTGAGATCTATGAATGATTTTCAGTGTTAAAAACAGAACTTTGTTAGTTGTTTGAAGGGGGTTGGTGAGGTGGGGGAGGGGGCTGGGTGGTGGAAAGGAAAGCTATTTTGAAAATGTTAAATGAAACCAAAAGTGCAGTTTTAAAAATGAGAACTTCCAAACTCTCTTATTTTTCAGGATTTCTACATGG